TCTTAAAATATATACTTAGGATGGAATTTCAGAAAAACAGTCCTACACAAGTTGAATATTCAAGGAATACACAGTGGTATTTTAAGGTGATAAGAAAATGGCTTATGAATTCTCCTAGTCCTACCTAACTATGTTAATATAAAGAACTTGATTAAGATTCCCAGGAAACATAAGAATATAATATTCATATTTGGATAAGACATGGATAATCCCATAGTGGTCATGCAGGAGGCTGATTCTTCAGGTGTTCATAAGCCCGTGTTTCCTTCCAGATGCCTCATGCCAGTGCTTGGACAGCTCCTTGTTGTCTGGAGGCTGTTTTGTTAACCTAGATACTGACAAGGGATTTCATTTTCGAGAAATCTGTATTAGAATCAAGGAGAAAAGTAGTACAGGGCAGGGGGAGGTTGTTTTCTCTGCTTTGACTTTGACTCTGGAATAAGGATACCTTCTTCCTACAGAGAAAGATCAAAATGAACATGAGTGTTTTAATGTAGTTGAAATCACTTTTGTTATGACTAACAATAGAGTTCTCTAAAAGTCTTTAACAAAGGATACTTAATTAACAAGACAATCAGATTCTGTTTTTACTTTAGATCTAAAAGTTAATATTTTCTGTTATATGTCTTAATTAAAATTGGCAACCTTTGCTGGGATTATTTCTCTTTTATATTTAATGAAATATACTAGGGCTATAAAAGACAGAGTCAAAATAGAAAAATAGAAAAAATAGGTTGGGGGGGTCAGTTTCTTTCCTTTATTATTATAACAATGACTGAAAGTTTGATGTTTTCACTGCTAGGAAGAAACAGTTTCTATGGAGCACTTTTTCTGGCCAGTACTCCATCCTGTGAGCTTCCTGTGTAACTGACATATGTAAAATAAAATGTCTATTTTCATCCATTTACATCTGAGCATAGGAAGGCACAGAGGGGTTCATTAACATGATGTGGGCCCCTGGCTGCTTCTGTGTTGTTGAAAATTACCTGTAGAGTTCAACCTATTTCAGATTGAGGGGAGACAGGCATTGAAAACTTGAGGTTTTTCTACTTTTTTCCTACACGTAACTGGATCTTTTGTCTTTCAGTGGTTCAGAATGAAATAATTGTTGTTCCAAAGAATGCAGAAGATAATATGAAACACGGAGCGAGGAGGACAGATACCAATGTGGGAGGTGTTACCAAAAGTAACAGTGTGGCCGTGGAAGTTGACAGACTGTCAAACTCTCTGGCGTGTGAAACTGGTATTGTTATGAGTGATGCAGAAAACCATCTATCAGCTTTATCAGGACCAGATCAAAAACTGAATCAACCCAGTGGAGAAAAAACAAAAACGCAAGATGCAGCAATTCAGACAGCCCCTTCCTGTGACGGTTTTTACAGGAATCACCAAGATCATAATTTGCCTGACCTCAAAGTCAATGAAAGAATACAAACTTCACATAATAATAAATCAACTCAACACTCATTCTTAAACCCAAAAGATTCTGTAGATACTTCAAGGGAATGTAGGAGTCAGGGCACCCTAATCACACATTCAGAAGATCAACTCACCGTGAAGAATCCAGTTTCTGCCCGTGGTCACGATGATCTTTTGCCTCCTGTCAATGAAATTGACAAAAATTCAACTGTTTCTTACCTAAAAAATTATCCATTTTATAGACAGGACTATAATCCCAAGCCAAAACCTTCAAATGAAATTACAAGAGAGTATATACCTAAAATTGGAATGACTACGTATAAAATAGTGCCTCCTAGATCCTTGGAAATAATGAAAGACTGTGAATCAGAAACCATAGGGCATAAAAATGACCCAGAGATACATACTTTAGGAAAACCTTCTCCCGAGGATGTGAAAGAAACTGCCATCCAAACAGAAGATCCTGTTATTTCTGAAGGTCCAAAGGAGCCAACAGTGGACCTTAAACTTAACTTGAGAACCGACCATCAGGTACCCAGTGCCCTGAGCTCACCTGATGGTGCCACGGTTAATTCTCTGAAACCTACTTCCAAAGTGATGAGACACACTGGCACAGCTCCTTTTGCACCAAATTTGGAAGATATAAACAATATTTTGGAGTCAAAATTTAAATCACGGGGTTCAAATCCCCAGGCCAAACCAAGCTCTTTTTTCTTGCAGATGCAGAAGAGAGTATCAGGTCACTATGTGACGTCCGCAGCTGCCAAAAGTGTCCACGCTGCCCCTAACCCGACCCCCAAAGAACTAACAAGTAAAGAGGCAGAAAAGGACATGCCGCCTCCTCCAGAGCAGACTCTTTCTTCCTTAAGTAAAACAACCCACTCGGTCCCACAACCCCATGTGAAAAAAACTGATGCTAATGTCATCAGTCAGAAGCCTGCTGAAACCTCTCCTCCTCCCACGGCCCCGAAACCCGCGACGCTGCCTGCTAGCCAGGTAGCAGCACTAAATCTGAAGACACTGAAAACTTTTGGTGCTCCACGACCCTACTCAAGCTCTGCTCCTTCGCCATTTGCCCTTGCTGTGGTGAAAAGGTCCCAGTCTTTCAGTAAAGCCCGTACTGAATCACCCAGTGACAGTGCACCTGCCTGCCCGCCAGCCAACCCAGAGGAGGGGAAGGCTCAGTCGGTAAATAAGTCTGTGGACAGTCCACAATTCAGTGTGACTGATCAGGTAAATGTTACCTTTTTAAAAATAAGGATTCAGATTTAAGAACACAGTAAAATGGGGGTTAACAAGCATGTTGGTGTGTGTGTGTGTGCTACTCAACAATGAAGCCATATTAATCTGATTATAAAGTTGTTATCGGGAAAAGAGAGTGGCAAAACATAGCATCTGCTTAGTTACTCTAAGAATTCTTATAATACATGTAATTTCTTTGGATATCCCTATAAGGTTGTCATTGTGTATATATTGTGCCATTAGTAAATGTTTTAAAATTTCTGTGCTTATATATTTGTATGACATACTACTTTATGGTTTTGTTTAGCTATGTTTTCTTATCTTGATTTGTTTTTAACTATTTAGCAAAGCAAATGGTTTTAATTATATAGAAACATGAATTGCATCAGGGACTAGATAAAATAATCAAGCATCTCTCAGTGAAGCATTTGACGTTCAAGCTCAGTTTATCAAACATTGTTGTATATAAGTAATTTATATTGAAAGAGTTTTAAAATGTAATTTTAATCCCCCATTTTGTCAATTCAGTGTCACCGTTTCCAACTGTAATATGTATGCTGACCAGAATGTCCTCTAACCACTCAGTAACTTCGTGTATGGCCAACCGAATGTCGCATTGTGCTAGGTTCTGATAATCCAAGGAAAGGATGAAATTTACAACATGACTCGTGATAATCCTCACGCGATTTCTGAGAAATACTTTGTGTACTTTTACACTGATAGTGTTTAAAAAATACTTTCATATTTATGTGACAGTTCCAAAAGTATTTAATAGTACTTTTTCAAACATTCCTAGAGTAAGAGAACATTAACCATATTGCCGGGTAAAGATTTTTCCATAATTCTAAAGCAATAATTTATCTTGAATAGTTTTTCATATATTTTACATCCACGTCTGTTACGTTGATATATCATCAGGACAGGAAGTATGATATACAGATTCATTACTGGGAACAAAGCCTGGGTTTTTTCTTGGAATGGAGTATCGTTCCTAAACGATGGAAGCTTGACTTAGATAATACC